TACTGTTCCATTGGTCAGGGATATCCTTTTTCCCACACCACCAGCCACCCCATTTCCCGTCTAAATTCTATCCCTATCTTTCCCATCTCACTTCCCAGCCAAGTTTTATCCGCCCACATAGAATTCTGGAGGGCTACACATCTACAAGCATCTTATCATTTATTGTGGCTTCTTCTTTTTTGAAGTCTGCCTTTTCCCCTGGTCTGTAATCTCCTTGAAGATATTCTGCTCAGCCAAGTGTCTCTAGGGCTGATCATTGAGTCTTGCACAGAGAAGCACAGAAAATGGCCTGAGCCCAAAGCAAACAGCAGATTGATAAGAAACAAAAATGGTGGGAGAATAGTACTGTCTCTCCCTTTGGTGATAGTACACAGGTTCACTATGGTGTAAGCTCAGGGGTTCAAATTCTCAAACAAACATTTCCCCTTCAAGTTGAGTCTCTTGACACAATGGAGCAAAATCTGGAGAAAAAAATGATTTATCCCTTCATGTATTTACCTGAAAGAACTACAAAAGTCTTAAATTCTGAGTATCGAGAATAAAAAGGGCAGAATAATTTTCACACTGCACTTGGTTCTCCATACGAAGTTACCTTAATAGCCTGTAAGTTCATGGATCTGTTTCAGACAACTCAAACTATGCGAAAGAACTGAGTGAGAATTAGGCTGTTGCTCAGAGCTCAAGGCCAAGGGAATGTGTGAAGTGCAGAGGTCTGCCTACCCAAGAAGTAGGCTCTAGAGGAAAATTTATTGTCTATTTCTTTTTTCTTTTCACCTCCAAGTTAGGTAACTTGCCGTGTGTTTGCTTCTTTCCAACTTCTCACCTATATTTGTCTTCTCCTAAAGAATTATTTATTGAGCACTTGTGCATATTTCACCATGAACAAACATCCAGCAAGTGTTGATACCCTCACTTTACTTCAAAGAAAGCTGGCAAACTTGTAATGTTACAGAACCAAAGGATATGGCAGCCCAGGGTTAGTACTTACTCGAAATGTTTTTAAAGGCCATCCTTTTTTTCTACTATATCTCTCTGAGTTATCAGTCAGGCTCTTGTATCAATGCTGTATTTTAATTTTAAAATAATCACTAATGTTTATTAAATGAAATAGAAACTTCCTACCATGTTGTAGAGAAAGGGGGGGAAGCTTCCTACCATGTTATAGAGGAGAAAGAGGAGGAA